CAATGGTTAAATATTTTTATACCTTTTAATTCATTGTATTTTTAGCAATGCAAAGAAAATAAATATGAATTTTTACCTTTTTGTTTAAATTTGAATTTTATATTTAAAATTGAAAATAAGCTGTCAAATTTAAATTTCTTGTTTAAAATTGAAGATGGTCGAAAACGACAAATAAAAAAAATATATCAATAAGACTAAGCAGATAAAGAAGAATATTATGAAAAAAAAAGTTGAGCCGTACCAATTATGTGCACATGAAGAATGTTCTTGTTGGTAGATAACCATACGGGAATTGAACTCAGCGTTCCCTTCAAAAGTTTGACCTATGAGCGCCACCCACGTGTAGTACAATCAACGTGCCGGCACCGGCTTCCCTTCCATAGCTCCACCAGGTAAAACCACCTCACCGCGTCAATAATACCTTCTCTCTCTCCTTTCTCTCCCTCCCTCCCCAAAAATCGCCTGGTGCATAGCTGCCCTTTTCGCCCCAATTCTCAATTCGCATTGAGGTCCTTGAAGATCCCTGTACCCAAACACCAACTTTCCTTCTACGTCCTCGAAATTCGCGTCGGGATTTTCTCGGGAAAGTAAGGGCTAGGGTTTGGGAGGGAAGCAACAAGATGAGCTTTCGCGATCTGGAAGCGGGTCGGGGTTCCAATTATTCCCGGCGAGGCGACCTCGGCAATGGAAAGCAGGACCCCACCCAAGCTGTGGCCTCCGGCATTTTCCAGATCAACACCGCCGTATCCACCTTCCAGAGGCTCGTCAACACCATCGGCACCCCCAAGGACACGCCCGAGCTCCGCGAAAAGCTGTGAGTTGTTTCTTCACTTTCATTTGTCAATTTTGTATCGTTTCTTGATTTCTGTTTGAATTGTGGGGTTTTGATTTTCTGTTCCATGATTGAGTTATTGATGATTTTGTGTTATCAAGGTTGAATTAATTGCGAGTATCATAATAATAAGCTGGATTTAATTGTTTGGAATTATGGGTTTCTGGATGCTGTGTAATTCCACGGATTAGGATTATCTGTTTCGCTATAGTTTTCGGGGGTGCATGTAGGATTACTTAAAATTTGAAATATTGAAGAAAAAATAGCTTAAGGGCTGCTATACAACTTGATTGTGACCCGATCATAAGGAAGAGCGACATCCTGGATAGCAACAATGATTAGTTCTTTCAAGTTGTAAAATGTCATTTCTGGTCATCATTCATTCTCTTTTCTTGTGAAAGGTTTCAGCAAAATACCTGCTTGCATGATAAATTCCATTGTCTAATGCTCCCCGTATTGACTTTTCTTGATTGCAGGCACAAGACGAGACTACATATTGGGCAATTGGTGAAGGATACTTCAGAAAAACTTAAACAAGTCAGCGAAAGAGATCATCATACTGAAGTTAATGTAAGTCTCTGTCACTTTCATCCCTTCTTCTTCCATGCGTCCTTCACACAGACACACACACCCAAAATTAGAGAGCATGTCTATGGTATTTATTACAAATACGAACATTTATTCCTTGACAATCGTGCAAACAATAGGGTCGGTCTTTGAAAATTCAAACTTTTTGGTGTGATGATCTCGGATGTCATCAACTTAATTGCAGGCAAGCAAGAAGATTACAGATGCTAAGCTTGCAAAAGATTTTCAAGCAGTGCTGAAAGAATTTCAGAAGGCTCAACGACTTGCAGCTGAGAGGGAAACAGCATATGCTCCTTTTGTTCCTCAAGCTGTTCTTCCTTCCAGGTAAATTTTGTTGGAGGATGTATACAATCAATTCCAGTCTTTTATTTGTCTGCAGTATTTATGTGATATCTTCCAGAAGATATTTTTGTTTTGTTTAGTTTGCATTACATCTAGTGTTGGAGGCCCTCAATCTTAACTTGTATAATTATTCTTAATGTTTCACGCAGTTACACCGCTAGTGAGATAGATGTAAACTCAGAAAAGAGTCCGGAACAGCGTGCTCTCCTTGTGGAATCTAGAAGGTGAGTTTTACTTGATTTTGATACGAAAATTTAACTGTTCTGCATTAGTCGAATTGCCGTTGAAAATGAGGAAAAGACGAGGGACAAACCAGTGGAATCTTGCATTTTCAAGTAGAAGGAAATTGAATGAAATTATGTTTAATGGGAAGACAATGAGTTATCTACCATAATTTGGAGTCAATCAATGATATATAAATGAATGTTTTTCCAAGTCCAGTTTTAGGCTTATGGTGGAGGGATAGAGCCTTTGGTGGGAAGTGGTGAAGTGTAATATGGTTCATGGAAAATGGGTATTTTATCGGTAGTCATGGGATAGGGTGTCAGAGACTATTATTGGTGGGTTGCAATCCCTTTGGAACAAAGTGCAGGTCAGACCATGAGATTGAGTGAAGTGTTTGATGTGTGCTGTGGTGTCGGAGCCGTGTCTTGGTTCTTCTAGTCTTTTGGTCTAGGAGCTGTCTTTGAAATTTTTTGTGTCTTCATTGTCTAGTCTAGATTTAATACTCTCTCTTCTTCAAAAAAGACAAAACATAAAAAACATAATCATCTCTTTTCAAGGTCGAAAAACTTAAAAATGGTGGAACCACTGTAACTTTTTCAAAACCGCCATAAAAAAGTGAACTGCATCAGCACTAACCTCATTGCACCTTCATTTCTTACTAGAAAAAAATTAGATCCCAGAAGACATCTATTCCTTTCTTATTAGAAAGGCCATATGATATTTAGGAGTTAGGAAACGATATTGTGGCATTTGCAATGACGAAGGAAACGACGGAGGAGAACAGTCGGCCAATTTCAACTTTTAATTAGCAAGGGAAAAAGTTTATGAAGACTTATTACATTTAAGATGGGTAATTTGGAAAACAAAATTTAATTAATTGAAGCATAAAATGCATAAGTTTAGGTACAAGAAAATTGACACATGGCGTGAGGAAAAGTGAGAAGGTACATATGAGAATGTGGCTAGCATTCCTCCTCCAAATTATTAAAATTCGTGACATCCGAAGCTCACAATAATCACGCCGCACCCAGCTTGTGGTGTTCTACATCAAAATGCTAATGCCTTTTTCCTGTCCTTAAAGATTCTCTTGTGCACAAAAATAGTTGGCACCGGGAGCCTTAGCATCAGCAGTCTTTGGTTTCCTTGCCAATTGAGAGAGCAGATCTGATACCTTCTGCTAGTTGTTTCCAAAATTTTGATTGTTTGATTTATCTACTTCAGTTTTAAACTCTTTTCAAGGTTGGATTTGCCATATATCTTTGGTTCTAAGTGAGCTTTGCTGCAGACAAGAGGTTGTGCTATTGGACAACGAGATTGCCTTCAATGAGGCTATCATTGAGGAAAGAGAACAGGGAATACAAGAAATCCAGCAGCAAATTGGTGAAGTGAATGATATTTTTAAAGATCTTGCTATACTGGTTCATGAGCAAGGAACCATGATTGGTAACTTACCTTCTCCATACTCTCTTGAAGGCACTTGTACTTATCTGGCTTTTGTTTTCTTATCGGTGATATCTGCTTTGTAGATGACATTGGCTCCAATATTGAGGGTGCTCATGCTGCAACTGGGCAGGCGAAGTCTCAACTTGTGAAGGCGTCAAAGACCCAAAGATCAAATTCGTCTCTGGTAATTTATTCACATTTATTTTATGACATTTTACATATATTTGTATATATATTTTTCCAAATGTTCTCTCAGTTCCTTTACAAATATTTTAACTAATCACTTTTAAGTTTGTTTAATCATAGTTATCTTTTTTGTTTTTTGCAGAGTTGCTTGCTCTTGGTAATATTTGGAATTGTGCTTCTCATCGTGATAGTAGTACTTGCAGCTTAATCAGAAGATTGTCTAAACTCAATGACAGCGAACTCAAGATTGTGCTACGCATCCCTCTGCTATTTCTGCGATGCCTGACTTGAGTTTGCCGTTGTATTCCATGTTCATATATCCTTTGCAATTTCTGGTTGCTGTTGGGTGAGGTGTCTGTTCTGTTCTGTAAGTTGGTGTCTGGGGCTTCTGATGGCGTTCTGTGTGCGTGTTGTTTTTTGTTTCTTCTTCTTTAAATATTACGGTGTTCGTTTATACGTATACAAGTTAAAATAAAAGTCATAATTCTTTGGGTTTTCACTTATTTGCTCATATGTAGTTTTCTGCTGTTTGAACTTGGTTAATCGGTCGGTCTTGGAGCTGAAAAGGTATTCTTTCGACTAACCGATCAAGGTTAGGGTAGGTTTCTCCATCGATTTTTTTGTGAAGGGACAAACACATTCTGGTTAACATCTTGTTCTATTAATCTTTTCTCACAGATTGCCAAATTGGCCACTGTAACGAAGCTCTCCCATATCGTACTGAAATCGAACAGGTACCCACCTTCGGTTCCACCCCATACCGTACTGTACTGGTACCGGAGTTTTGTCTTGAGTTCAGATTCGGTTCCACCCCTATCCCAAAACATACTGTACTGTACTGTACTGTGCCCCCTCCAATATTATGAATGATGAATTAAAATATAGATAATTCCGATTGTTGAAAAAAGTTTGAGCAGACCTACAAAATGTGTGAAAAAATTAAGTCTCCCATTATAACACATCTTATATATTTTAATTATAAATAAGAAATACGCAAAAAGCCTACTTACGCCTTGGCCTCTAAAACATTAATTTGTATACACGAAATTATTATATCCTTAATGGGCGAGACATCTAAACCCACAGGCGAAATTTCAATGACATCCACCACCTGAATTTCCTTGCTGCAAATCATCACTTTTTGTGAACTCCCTTCATTTGGTCCTCTCTCCTCACTTCCAACACCTTCTAATCTAAGCCTTCCATTACCCTCCCAGTTTTCAGTCCCAGCAGACTTCACATTTATCAGCTTCAAGACGAATTACGAATTGTGTAAATCTCCTGCCCAGGTTTCTTTTCGTCTTCTGGGTTTAGAGCCAAGTAGCGGCTTCAAGAGGATGAGCATTTAACCAGGAGCATATTAGCTCAAGAGATGAACTTGGTATGAGTAGGCAAGTTGATAAACTCACTAGTAGTAAAGCGAAACCGGAACCAACATGCTAGATTCTGCATGATTTACAATGAAATGACTTATCTCCATCAAATCTTGGAGGAAAAGATTACACAAAAGCCTTGACATATCATTCGGCGTCGGAACCATGTCTTCTCTTCTCCTTGTGTTTCCTGTCTTTCCTCCTCTCATCTGAGGGACGTTTCCCATGCTTTTCACGCCTCTCATGTTTCTCCTGCTTTCTCTCATCACGCCTCCTCTTCTTTCGACTGCTTTCATCCTCTAGCTCCTCTTCAACCTTTTCTTTTGGTGGTGAATTAGGAACATCCGACTTTCCCATTTCAGGTGGAACATCCTTCGCTGTTGGATGAAGAGAACTTGACTCATCCCAAGGGCAGGGTGCTCTGCAGTAAGATTATAAATTAATTTATTTTTGGACAAAATGGATCAAGCAAAATTACGCTAAGCAAAGAAAAAGATTATGGGAGGGAGGCTAAACATAAATTAGTAATCATACATCACAAACAAACTACACAGCAGGCTATTGGCACTAAGTACGAATATATATATATATATATATATATAGACACACACACACACTACAAGCTCATTAATTACTACATTAATCACGCCTAACAAATTTATCAAGTATCTCATAAATTCCTTTCTCAAAGTATCTCACTGCTGAAACAAAGACATACTAAACCATAAAGCCTACTACTTCCCCACCATCCATGTATTCCTTCTCCAATGGCCTACATCCCCATTTCACATTATGGGAATCCAAGAAAATATGACAGTATTCCATCACCACCCTTGGAATAGCTCTACACAATTTTCTTCTTTCGCCGTTCTATACCATAGTTTTCTTTAGAACTCTCAGAAAATGGCTGTTACAAAAACCCACCAACATTTTTTTTATAGTACACAAAATTATTATATTATATAATTGGAGAGAAGATTCAAATTATACCATAAGTCCACAAAAATAACTCCCATCCCTACTTATACTAGACAAAACGGTCAAAACCAGCAACATCATTAAACTTTCAATCTTCAAAGAGATTGATGATATAGAGCTTGTTCGGATGTGCCTTTAAAATGACTGAAAGCGCTTTTGGTGAAAATGTTTTTGGAATCAATCCTCAGTAAAAATGCAAGTAAATCTTGGAAAAGCACTTAAAGTGCTTCTTGGAAGAAGCACACGCCTTCAATCATTTTAAAAGCACATCCAAACGAGCTCATAAGTGGCTGCGGATTATTGCAATTAAGCTAGGACTACATATCAAAATGGGAGTAAGGAAGGTACAATTTAAACCCTTTTTTTGGGGTGTTACGCACCTTGCAAATCCAAGACCATGCACACGTGCTGCTTCAGCGTGCCCTTCACCTACGTCCTCTGCAGTCGAGCCTCGTTTCACAAGTTCCGAAAACTCATGCTTATCAAGCCGACTACCTTGAGCACGGCTTGCACGCTTAGGAGCTAAGCCAAGAGCCTCCCTCATAGCCTGCTCCTCCTCTTCCTTAATTCTCTTGATCTCTTCTTTTGCAGCATCCATTTCTGCCTTCTGAGCTTTTTTGTCTCTAGCATACCAGTGTAGATCTTTACCTGTGGAAGCATACAATAAAAAGTTGAGAAAATCTTTTAATAACTGCAAAACCTTTCATACATGGGAATGAAACAGGGAAAAACATTAAAATCAAAAGAAAACAAAACTATGTAAGAATCAGTATATACAGTATCTTTGCTAGTAGGTCCAACCAGACAACCACTTCAATTTCTAGAGATTAGACCTTTGTATAAAAGAAATTAGAAACAGAATGAAAAAGACTACGCAACTTTTATTGGACAAGGAGACTTCTCTAATACATTTTTCACCCATGGCAGTGGATCAGCCTTATAAAGAAAACGAAAAGCATCAATCGCTTTTATAAATTCTAGATTCAAATCATTTGTAGAAATACTCTGCACAAACAAATTCCCAATAGCCCTACAGATTCAAACAAAGTCCATTCATGCCATACAATGTGCAAATTTGGCAGACAAGAAGGAACTCGGAACTATAGTCTACATCCAAAATTGTCAGCAATCCTCATTGCAACATTAAGAGAACCAGAAGTTTACATTTGTTCATCTTTCATGAAAAGATTCCAATAATCAAAGAACAGAAAGATATAAAGAATGAAGAAATATGAGAGTAAAGACCTACAGGAGTGAATTTAAGGTATCTTAGTCTTTTCATTTAATAATTACCTAAATTTATAATTTTGTTCTATTCAGTGGCTTATCTTTGAATTGGAGAGGGTTTGACTATTTTTCAGAAGAACCACAGAGCTACTTGCAACTTAAAACCAAATTGAATACTTCATTTGAAATGAGAAAAATGAATGATTATAGCCAAATATGAAGTAACTAAACGGGTCACCTTTTTGCCATCTTCCGACAGGCGCCTTGATGCTGTGACCAAGATAGTTCTCTCGATGTTTATCAACCTTAACATCATCCCAACTGAATTCTGTGCATCAAAGGAGAAGCAGAAAGTTGATTAAATAAATAAAAAAATTTAAAAGCCTCCCAAGATAAGAATGCACCTATAGCTACAACATACAAGGATTATGTCCATGATTTACACATAAATATGTGATGAATATTCCTATTATTTAGGGTACCAAAAATATGATTTATTGTTTTTTTAACTACTAAGTTCACTTTCCTACGACTATCAGAGTTTCATTGTAGGTATTAAGAGTTTGTCGTGCTTCAACTACCTATTAAATAATGGGCGTTATTCTAAACTACTGAATTGAATTGAATGTTGAACATTAAAATCCTACGGCCGCCCAGGGATGGAGGATTGAGAGGGCAGCCATGTGCCATTGCCCACCTTAAAATTAGGGAGAAGAAAAATTAGGAAAAATGGGTAGAGAATGAGGGAATAAATGAAAGACCCTCTAGTAACCAGCCACCCTGTTGCTCCCTTGTTGTTTTTATCCTCTATCCTCCCTTCTTACTTTTCCTATCTTCTCCCCCGCATCAATATGTTTTTACATCAGAAGTTCAAGTTTTTCTATGCACTTTACAGAATGGAATAATAACTGCCTCACCAAGTCACTATCTCCGGAACAAAACCAATATTTCATGAAATCTAGTTGTGCGCATACGATAAGCTACTCCACATGCAATTATTTTTTTACAGCCAATTGGGTGATAATAGGGGGAAAAACTATCTTCGTAAACACCAAAAATCAAACACAGATCTGTATCAAATTAGTGGACTTTTCTTATTAAGTAAATAAATTCCCCTCCAGAGAAACTATATCTTTACGTTTAAATTCTACCACACTGTTAATTATTGACAATAGAAGAGATAAATGAAAAAGAACAGCCAGAGAACAGATTACTAAAGCATGAATATACAGAAAAATGTACACATATTTATATACATGTGTGTGTGCGCGTGCGTGTATATATGATGAGATAGGGAGAGGGCTTACGATCTCGACCGCCACGAACACCGCCTCTAGTGGGATGATACATATTCGATCGATGTGTATACGTGTGTTGTGCGTTCAGCAATCAGAAGGAGCCTCCTTCCTATGGTTGTATGGGGATCCGGAATTCTGTCGGAATCAATCAGCACAACATCAATCAGCTTCTCCAATTGAGCTCAAGATTTCAATTGTACACAAAAAAATCCCAAATTGTACGAAATTAGGGTTCCCATAAACCCTAAGATTACAGACTAGAGACTATCTCAAAAATCTTCCGTCAATCGAATCATGCTTAATTCATAAAACGAAAGTCAGAAAACAAAATCAATAGAAAATTAAATCATCTGGTATTGATTTACCTCGTATTATACAACTCTTTCTGAAACCAGAGCCACCCGGAGAGAGAGGGAAGAGAGAAGAGAGAGACGAGAGAGAAGGCAGATCCTGTTTCTGGATTAAATACGACCTTTACTGAATAATTGGCGTTTTCATTGATCGCACCTATTTCTTATCCAACGCTCCATGTTTTTCCACGTCACCACGTATACATTTAATATTAAAATGACTGCTGTTCTTATTTTTTTTAACTCGCTTTCTAACGAAAATAAATGATATTATATGCGCTGGGTGGAGCAATGAACTTAGCTTAACAATAGCCAATAATAATGTGGTTCAAATTCATTTTTGACGAAAATCAAACCTAAGGCCATCTCCAACCGACTCTGCCAATAAGTTATAGGGCTAGAAAAAGCTCGGAATGACACGAAAACCATCTCCAACCGAGGGTTAGGCCAAATGGCTTGTGTGCCCCATCGGGCCAAAACACCCAAATTAGGCGAAAGAGATGGCCATTTCCAGCCAGCCCACTTGCCCTCCAAAGACTACTTGGCGTTAGCTAGCTGACGTCAAGTTATTGTTGGAATTTGAATTTTTTTTTTTTTGGATGAATTTTTTTTAATTTTAATTTTTTTCTATAAATATCTAAGTCATTCCTACACAATATCTCACATACTTTTCACCATTTCATACAATCCGAAAAATTATTGAAATTATATAAAGATAAAAAAAATTCGGAGGATTATTCATTTAGCGACAAATGACGCTCAAAATATGTCCGAAAATCTTATTTTAATATGGTAATTTAATTTAATTAACCATATTAATTCAATTAAAATAATAAATTATTGAGAGGGTTATGTTTGGCCTATGATCCTTTAGTCCTCTCAGTTGGAGATGAGTTTTTTGTTAAAGGCCTATGACCCTTTGGCCCCCTCGGTTGGGGATGGTATAAAATATGGCTGACACTATATTAAAATATAATTTCTTACAAGGCTATAGGGCTAAACATAGCCATTTGGCCCTCCTTCGGTTGGAGATGGCCTAAGGCTTTTCACTTACAAAGTGAAAATGAATACTACTAAATCATAGGATTAAGTGGCTGCTTTTTAATGAAAATGTTAGAGTGCTGCTACAAGCCTAAACCCATCCCAATGTCATATTTCTTCACCCGCATTATAATTTTACTCATCATAAAAAAAATTAAAAAATTATAATGTTATTTTCTCATGACTATCATTACTAAAATAACTTCTATCATATATCTAAATTCTTTGAAAAAAAATTTAAAGCATAAATATTACAGTGCTGATAAGCCCAACCCAGCCTTGATTCATTGACAAGGCCTCTTTTCCCAATTTTTATTCCAGTTAACAGAGTGACACCCCCCCCCCCCCCCCCCAACGCAACCCCCTCCCTCCTCTTTCTAGATTCCACGACTAAGCCTCATGCCGCAATTCTAAAATTTCATTCTCATGCCCCATTTCCAAATTCGCGAAAACCAAATCTCACCCCTCCAAACCCAATTCCTACTTCTGATCTCCCATTTTATTTTTCAAGTGTTTAAATAATTGTTTCATTAGTAAAATGTTTTGAACAACTATTATATATGATTAAACTAGAGGAATAGAAAATGAAGAAAATATTATTTAAAGAAATTGAGACAATTGTAGAGAGAGTGAACGAAAAAGAGAATCATTATTATTTTTTTTTCCCTTTGATTCTTTAGATGTTAATTTACAATAGGGTAAAAATGGTATCAAGATTTCCATTAAAAAAATTAGGTAGGGAGATAAATAGTTGGGTAGGTCTATCAACACTCAATTTATTATGTTAATGACATGTTTATCCTTTTGAAAATGACGTTTAGGCCCCTATTTATAACTTTATGGAGATGTAGGTTGAATAATTTGAGAATTTTTTGTTTTTGAAGTTGTATGTTTGATTTTGAAACTGAGTGAGAAGAAATTGATCAGATGCAAAGTTATAATATGAATAAAAGAGGACAAGCCCCAAACCACTTAAGTATTTCACCCATCTAGAAGAAGTTGATGGTGTCAGTGTACTTAAGGTTTTTGTTTTCTTTTGTTTGTTTTAGCTAGGGTGGGTTGAAAAAACCAAAAACTGAAAAAAATCGAACTATAACCGAAAAAAAATTGAACTATACGTGAAAAACAGAACTGAAATGGTTTGGTTCGGTTTCAGTTTTTGGGGTTCCCAAACCGAACTGAACCGAAGTGTGTATAAAATGACGTCGTTTTACCCTTAGATACACTAATGTTGTTTTTACCCTTAAGTTAGATACGCTAATGTCGTTTTTATCCTTAAGTTAGTGTCATTTTGGCTATGCTATTAACACTAGAAGGGTTTTCTTCCCCCCGTGCCTCTTTCACTCAGTCAATGTGTCTCTCAGCCATCACTCCCTCACCCGTCACTGCTGTTCACTAATCTCTCTCAATGCACCTCCCTCACTTTGTCTCTCAATCATCCATCACTTCACTCTCATAGCTGGGAGCGCCGCAGCCTTGAAGTCGTGCAACTTCTCAGCCTTGCAACGCCTTGCAGCCCCACAGTCCTGCCGTCGAGCACTTGCCCGCCTCACTGTCTCGACAATCGACAACTGTCACAAAGGTAAGTATTCTGGGTGGGTGGGTGTTTGTGGAATTACAAAAAGAAGGAAGTAAAAAAATTGGAAAGGAAAATCGAAATGTAAAAAAAAAAGTGAGAAATGCCAAACCTCCAATTCTATCCTTTTCTCTCTCTATTATCTGTTATTCTGTTTATGAATTGTTTTGCTGCATATTAATTTGAACCATCCGCATCCTTCAATTTGAGTTAGAGTTTATAGGTAATGATTTACGTAGAAATACCACAACAATGCATGTCTCTGGTTTTTCACTTTCGACGGTCATACATTGCACTATTTTAAGAGGTTGGTTGTAGGAACAACTCGTACTTTCAAGATTTGGATTTTATGTTTGAAGATGTTTTGATGCTAGACCTTAAACCACCTTTGAGTATGTGAACAACCATCATGCTTTAAAATTATTAGTGAACTTAAAACCTAGTGATGGTACCAAAATAGGCATTTTGATAATAATTCGTAGTGGCAGTGAACTTGGTAGTTCAATACTATTATGGTTATCTTCTAGCTATTAAAATCATTTCACCGACTTGTGGTATCCAGTAGATTCATATATGTTGATTTTTCAGAGGATAATTCAAAATATGGTTATCTTCTACTGCTTGGAATTTTGCAGCATGCTTTTAAGCTTGCTCGGTTAATACTAATCTGTATTGTGATTTTTTTTTTGTTCCCTAATTGAATCTTATTGTATGTTTTCTATTTTAATTAGATGAAGTCAAATGCATCAAAGGCCTCAAGCTCAAGCTCAAACTCAATGAGATCAAAATCATCAAATAGGTCTCGTGAAAAACTAAATTCATCTACTTCAACTTCATTGCAAATAAGTTGTCATCTCTATACTTTCTCTATGATTCTTATGTCTCAACTTATTTAATAATTAATTGTAATGATTTTCTCTCTTATTTTAGAAGGACATTGTTTGTGAATCAACTCTGCCTCAACTCTCCATGGTGGCACCTCAACAAACTCCTCATCCTCATGGTGGACCCAAAAATTCTTTTGATGCAACTCCAAAAAAAGGTGGTTCAAGTGATCAAGTAAGTAAAGAATAAGCTCTCTTGGATTCACTAAAAAAATCATGAAAGGTCTACAATTTGAGAGCACTTTAATAGGATAATTAAGGGAGGTAGAGTTAAGAGGTGTGCAAGTATTGCAACAAACCATTTATGGCCGATACGGATAAAAATGGTACAACTAGTATAATAAATCACTTGGCAAGGTGTAGAAGCTACGGTCCTAATAAGGAAATATTTGTCCAAATAGGCAAAAAATCTTAACTTTTGCAGGCACGAAAGATAAGTTGGAAGCTATAAGTTTTTCTCAAGTGGAAGTTACTAAGACTTGTGTTGAGATGATAATTATAGACGAGTTACCTTTTTCTTTCGCCGAGGGAGATGATTTTCATAATTTTTGCATGCATGCATGTCCTTTGTGGAGAGTGCCTAGTCGTAAGACAATAGCTAAAGAAGTACTTGGCTTGTTTTATTCTGAAAAGGAGAAATTGAAAAGTCAGTTGAAGACATTTAGGGTGTCTAACAATAGATACATGGACTTCTATTCAACAAACAAATTACATGATTCTCACCGCGCATTTTATTCATGATGATTGTATGTTACATAAAAAGATTTTGAACTTTTGTGTCATTGCAAATCATAAAGGAGAATCCATTGCTCAACTTTTGGAGGAATGTTTGGTGGAGTGGGGCATAGAGAAGGTGTTAACTATTATAGTTGACAATGCTTCTACAAATGATTTTGGCTTAAGGGATCTAGTGCACCGAATAAGTGGGTATGATTCCTAATGCACTTTTGCATGATGGAAAATATTTGCATATGAGGTGTTGCTCATATCCTTAATTTGGTTGTAAATAATGGGATAAAGTTGTTGAATACTGCTATATAAAATTGTTGAAATTGAATTTTTTTTCACTACACAGTTCTTTCATCTGTTTTATTTAATAATAATATTGTTTTTGAGTATGTATTGTGAAACTTGTTGTTTTAATACTTATTTCATATCCAGATTGGATCTGTCTGATCTCAACCATTCATGTCTCCTGGATCCAACCTAGAGATTGAAATTTTGAACGTTGTGTTGCAATCTTTTGTGTGAGAGATATAAAGTTAACTTGAATGACCCTTTTTGTCATGCGTTGAAGATTGAAAATAAATAGTTTTGAATACATATCAAATCTAAGTAAAGTGATTCACAGAAGCAATAGATTATATATATAAACTGAATTGATTGTACAACTAATAAAAATGTCTGAAAGCGAGAACACAATAAGTCAAACAAAAACAAAACCACAAGAAAATAAAAAATAAAAAACACATTAGAAATGCTCCCAAGTTTCAACTGCCACTCACTCAACTCAGTCTCAAAGTGCACTCGATAAAATCTCAGACATCTTGACATTGTCCATTTTAAACAAGTGGGACATTAGATCCGCAAAGAAATAAGTTAATGCCATATTGAGATTCTCATCATCAACTCCCTCCCACTGCAAGGAAAGAAAAACACATATCAACTACAAACAAAGAAGGAAAAATAAATCAAATATACAAGATCCTCTTAGATTGAGACATGAAAACATACTCACCTTAATGTGATAATGTTTCCTTACATTGTTGCTGTATATCAGAAAAGACAATGAGTCATTTGGCCAGTAGGTGACGCCACAATGGATCAAAGCATTATAAAAACGTAACGTAGAAAATGTCATAATTCTCTCGAACCAATCAAAGCATGGGTTATGATCCTAAGCCATATATGTCCTGTACTTAGACATCCACTGTTTTATTATGAGGAGGTTGTCAATGGTTTTTGGCATGTTATATATTTGATTGTTGGTATTTTGATGGGAGTATTTTTGCTCACTACAAAAATCTCTGAACATGTCATGTGTTCGCATTATAAATACCATTTTTCAATTTTATTTTAGTTTTTCTAATTGTTTTTCAATATGGGTTTTCTTGGAAATATTAACAGATATGGGTCCAAAATATGAAAACTTCGAATGACATGTTGGAAATGCTTAATTCCCTAATAATACAAGTATAAGACTAATAAACTTCATCAAGTCCCATTAATTTGTTATGATAAGCATATGATAATGGATAAATGCTACTGAAAAACAATAATATGTGTGTGTGTATATATACTTGTATTTTTAAAGGGACCAGTATTATAAGAGTATAACTAAGATCTAAAACGTGGGTTCAATTAATAGCGTGGTTGTTCAAAACGAGGTTGTGTGAGTAGAAGGATCATGTAAATTGTTCTCTCATTTTAAAACCTCCAATCCCTCTCCAACCAAACGGGCGTACATCTTCCCGCCTCCCCAAATAAAAGGGGTGTACATCAATCTGTTAAAGTGAGAATGTGAAATAAGACATTTAAAAAAAGAAGATAGAACAATGAATTAAGATTCTTTCAAATGCATGCCGGAGGCAATGGCTGATTGAAATATGGATGTAGCAGCAATTGTAATAGCTGAAAATAATGCCGCAAAGAACGTGAGAGTTGATACGGTTCCAGCATGCGCCCTCATCCCAGAAGGGATTTTCCAGACAAGTTTACCGTATCCTAATTCAGAACCATTGATCTCTGGCATCTTATACAAACAGCTTTGATTTTGTGAAGTTCCCTCAACGCTACAACGCATGAACAAATCCGGCATACCAGATTTGACTTCCCGATAGCCGCTTTCATCTAGGGGCTGCAATGGATTCAGGAAAAAAAAAAAAAAAAAAAAGAAAAAAGCAAGGTTAAATGATACAAAGTAACGAATATATCAGGTTTCTTCAAGGGAATTGTTATTTTCTTTTTTTTCAGAATCCTCAGCACACAATACATGCCTCAAAGTTTTAATCACTAAAAGAAGCCAAATATCCCAATTTATATGCAATGCAGAACGAATGTAGAACCCGCCGAGATGAAAATATCTTCAACAGGGAAATCAGATACAGTTACGAATTTAATTCAAAACCATTCCACTTACTGGATATCGTGCATGCAATGGAAGCTCTACGTTGATGTTACACTCTTTATCGTACCTCAACAAGAAATTATGGCCAATATCTATGTGAACCTCGAGTCTTGACCGCGGAATGATTGGAAAGAAATGAAGGCAGTTCTAAATTTGCATCTCCAAACACAGCTATATTGCTATATGCTGCATTAAATGGACAATCCGAAATACAAGAAACGAAATCAGTGCAATATCTCTAGATTACAGGTAATATGTAGTATTTTGTTTTCATTTGGGGTGCGGAGGGAGGAGCAGAAACAAGAAGGAATAATTACCACCACGCTGAAGGAGATGTTGAAGCTCAAATGGATCCGCAAATACCCCAGATGGCAGTCTCTCAATGATTATGAGCTCACAATGGTGAGTTGGTAGCTCATATATGGGCTCTGGTTTGATGTTAACTCTAATGGATGAGGTGAGATGACGATGAGAACCTTTGCCTATCAGATTGCAGTGCAAAATTGGGCGTCTAACAACAAGACTCAGATCATGTGGCAGCACCTCGCACAAACCAAAAGGAAGCTCTTGTGCTACAAAATCTTGGAAATCTGAATCGAACAAGTTTTCATATTTTTCGTAGTAAGACTGCATAATATACTTGTTGAAACTGGAAAAGGCACTGATATTTGAGCCACCACCATCATAGTTTGAATCATAGCTTCCCGCCTGAAAAATAAAAAATATGCGTCACAGATAAAAATCATTAAATAAATCTTACAGACACGAAGATGCAGTTCATGATTTATGATAGCGTTTGCTTTTCTTATTTGCTCATCAATGCATACAAAAGGTTAGCAAAAGAAAAACAAATAAAAATAAATTTAATGAAGTAGAAAAATGCAAGGACACCGGATAAGCCATAAAATGATATGCATCTAAATAGAAGAAAGAGAGGACAAGTATACAAACATGTGCGAACAGAAAACACAAGGAATATAGAGTGGACTGCAATGCTAAATTGACAGAAAAACAAGCAAGGGACTGATAGCTTTGAAAAAAATGGTAAATTGACAGAAAAACAAGCAAGGAATATAGAGTGGACTACATGTATTTATACGAACACTGTCCCTAGTGGGATGATACATATTCGATATGCGTACAGAGTACAGACTATATATGTGTTATGTGTTCAGCAATCAGCAGGAGCCTCCTTCCTATGGTTGTCTGGGGATGGATGTTCCTGAGATGCTATCAATCAGCTTCTCCAATTGAGCTCAAAATTTCAATTGTGCACAAAAAATCCCAAATTGTACCAAATTAGGGTTCCCATCAACCCTAAGATTACAGACTAGAGACTACCTCAAAATTCTTCTGTTAATTGAATCAACTAATTCTCAATTACATAGACAAGAACAACAACAAAGCCTTATGGTCGGCTATATGCATCCTAGAACACCATTTCTCTCGGTTTTGTGCCAATTACATACACAACAGATGAAATAAAATCAGATAACCTACTTAATTCATGAAACAAAACCGAAAATTTTGTTCAGAGCACAGAAAATTAAATCATCTTCAATTGATTTACCTCATTTTAGGGAGAACTTTCTGACGATCCCAAAGGAGAAACAATTTCATAAATCCAACTTTTTGATTGTAGGATGCGAATTTATCAAGTTTTTGAAGAAAATTAAAGGTTTTCTCTGCCTTTGAGACACATAGTCAGAGAGAGAACCCAGATGCTGTTTCTGGGTTTAAATCCCACCTTGACTGAATAATTGGCGTTTTCATTGATCAGCATCCTACTACTCATCCAACACTCCATGTTTTTTCCACGTCACCACATATTTTGGTTAAAAAATAAAAAATTTAACAACAAAGGTTAAAAACCTTTTTGATCACTGTGTTTCAGGTCAAAACCTATTTTGGTCGTCGTGCTTTTAATTCAGCCAATTTGGTCATTGTAATTATGTACCCGTGCCATGTAAATTGTTCAGCCCGCCAACCTCCAATGCCTCTTCAACCAAACGGGTGAACATCAATATCATAAAGTGAGAATGGGAGATAAGTCGCTTAAAAACAAAGGATGGATCGAAAAGGGGAACTCGGTGCAAGTTATGAAAGCCAATTCATATAAATGAATGCTAAATGACGGTAAAGCAACATACATGTTTAATGAATTAAGATTCTTTCAAATGTTTGCCGGAAGCAACGCCTGAATGAAAAATGGATGTAGCAGCAATTGCAATAGCCGAAATTAAGGCTGCAACGAACGTGAGAGTGGATACGATTCCAGCATGCGCCTTCATCCCAGAAGGGATTTTCCAGACAAGTTTAGCGTATCCTAATTCAGAACCATTGATCTCTGGCATCTTATACAAACAGCTTTGATTTTGTGAAGTTCCCTCCATGCTACAACGCATGAACAAATCCGGCATACCAAATTTGACTTCCCAGTAGCCGCTTTCATCTAGAGGCTGCATTCAGAAAAAGAAAAAAAAGCAAGGTCAAATGATACAAAATAACGAATATATCAGGTTTCAGAATCCTCAGCGCACAACACATGCCTCAAAGTTTTAACGACCAAAAAAGCCAAACATCCCAATTTCAAACCATATATGCAAATGCAGAACGAATGTAGAACCTGTCGAGGTGAAAATATCTTCACAGGGAAATCAGATACAGTTACAAATTTAATTCAAAACCTCTCCACTTACTGGATATCGTGCATGCAATGGAAGCTCTATGTTGATGTTAGACTCTTTGTCGTGCCTCAGCAAGAAATTATGACCAATATCCATGTGAACCTCAACAGCAGTACGATTGGAAAGAAATGAAGGCAGTTCCAAATTCGCATCTCCAAACACAGCTATAGCGCTATATGCTGCATTAAATGGAAAATCAGAAATACAAGAAACAAAATTAGTGCAACATCTCTAGATAACAGGTAATGTGTAGTATTTTGTTTTCATTTGTGGTGCGGAGGGAGTAGAGCAGAAACAAGAAGGAACACTTACCGCCACGCTGAAGGAGATGTTGAAGCTCAAATGGATCCGCAAATACCCCAGATGGCAGTCTCTCAATGATTATGAGCTCACAATGGTGAGTTGGTAGCTCATGTATGGGCTCTCGTTTGATGTTAACTCTAATGGATGAGGTGAGATGACGATGCGAACCTCTGCCTATCAAATTGCGGTGCAAGATTGAGGGTCTAACAACAAAACTCAGATCATGTGGCAGCACCTCACACAAACCAAAAGGAAGCTCTTGTGCTACAAAATCTTCGAAATCTGAATCGAATAAGGTTTCATATTTTTCGTAGTAAGACTGCATAATATACTTGTTGAATCTAGAAAAGGCACTAATATTAGAGCCACCACCATCATAGTTTGAATCAGACGTTCCTGCCTGAAAAATAAAAAACATACATCACGGATAAAAATCATTAGAGAAATCCTACAGACACAAAGATGCAGTTCACAATTTATGATAGTGTTACTTTTCTTATCTGCTCGTCAATGCATACAAAAAGGCTAGCAAAGGAAGAATAAATAAACATAGAATAATAAAGTACAAAAATGCAAGGACACTGGTTATAAGCCATAAATGATATGTATCTAAATAGAAGAAAGAGAGGACAAGTATACAAAACATGCGCGAACGGAAAATACAACGAATATAGAGTGGACTGCAATGGTAAATCGACAGATATACAAGCAAGGGACTGATAACTTTGACAAAAGATGCTATAAATGGGGCCACTTTGTAAGCTTTTGAAATCAGATTGTTAGTGAAAACAAGGAAGCCTAGAGTTACTGCTTGTGTGTGAGGCACAACAACCTTGGAGTGATTCCAAGGCACCTTTGGTGTTATGCTGAAGTCCGGTGTGATGCCGGAATTTTTCCAAATTTTCTATTGGAGTGATTCCAATACACCTTTGGTGTGATGCCAAGGGCCGGAGTGAGTCCGGATGTCTTCTATTTCTCTATCCCTTCGTATTGTCCTACATCATTGTTCCGTTCCATTCGGTTCTTTTTTTCTTTTTTTTTTTTTAAGCAGTGGATTACATGAAGGCACTCACGGTGAATCGATTTTGTTCATGGTTTTAAAAATCTAAAAGGTAGGGGATTACATGAAGGCGGATTACAATTGAGTAATCCATGAGGGGCTATGCTTATGCAACAACACAACATGAACATGTAGAGCTCAAAATTTCTTAACACTAAAAAATTGTAAAACTTCTCTCCCTCCATCCAACGAAAAATATATGTGATACAAATCTCATAAAATGTTGGTAATAATTACAAATTTGCAATGAAATTAAGTAAAAAATTGAGGAATCTGAGAAAACCAAGCACTGACCTGAAGAGTTGAATAATGTGCAGAAGAATGTGTGCAGAAACCAATGGCGGAGAAGAATACCAAGACAAATCCCAGAAGGAAGGAATTGGAGAAGGCAACGGTGGCTGATGGCTGGGATGTTCTTGCCTTCATGGTTTCTACTTTCATGCTAGATTCAGATCTCATTCGGTCGAGGGGCGGCGGCTGGTGGTGGTGAGAGAGGACAGTGGAGGGCGCCGAGGAGAGCACATGTATTATCAGGTCTGGTGGTAGGATTTGCAGAGGAAGGGAGGCGAAGGAGGAGAGAAGTTGGAGGGGACGACGGCGGAGTCGACGGAGGAGGGAGGATTAGACGGGGATGGGATCGACGAAGGGCAAAGTTGGAGGAAGAGAAGGCATTTCGGATTTGCAGGGACAAAGGTCGAAGAAGCTGGGCAAACTGGACACGTGTTAGGATTTTATTGGACCACGTATCATGGTGAGTAAACTGGATACTGACTTCTTTTTAATTCAGGGATTTTAGGGTCGTTCTATCAGAAATTCCAAAAAAAAAGGAAAAGAAAAAAAACATTTCCAAATCTCTTCCTTGTGCGACAGAGAGAATGAGTAATTCGAATTCATCGCCGGCACATTCGTCGATATCGACGACAGCGATAGCCGGAGAAAGAGAACGAAGCAATTCCAATCCTGCCGCCGCCGCCGCTCTCTCCGACGACCTCTTCTTCCCCTCCGACCTCATTTCCATTCAAGATCGCAAACACGAAGCATTACTTGGTTCGTTCCTCTCACTTTTCGCTTTCCAATCTCACTTTCCAATTGTTTGTTTGTTTATTTGTTTCCACTTTTACTGGTTCAAATATTTGATTACATGATTTTGGTTTCTCGTTTCTGTTGTCATCAAAGAAATCGATTGATCATTGAATGCATCTCTGCTTTGTTTGTTTTTGTTTTGTTTTGTTTTAATGCGTGTAGTTTATGCGAAATCTGAGTGTTTACTTTTCGACATTGCAGTTATAAAATCCGATCTTATGGATGCACTTAACAAGGTGGTTAAATCCCTTGAAGAAGATAATTGGATGTTCGAAGGGCCGCGCCATCGCGTTATCCCTATATCAAGACAAGGTTTGTTAGTTATGCTTCCTAACTAGTTTTGGTTCAAGATAATTCAAAGTTTCGATGTTGAATTTTACCGCGTCTTTTATGCGCCTGGGTTTGGTGTCATCTGTATCAAACTTTTGAATTTTTATCAAGAACAAAATAAAACAACAATGCCCTTGATTTTCAGTGCGTTTCATTCCAAGTGCTTCAAATTCAGTAGGTTTTTATGGTGTCAGCTTCTCGTGACATTCAGCACAACTACAGTGAAAACATAATTAGAGTACTGTAACTATATATATATATATATATCAGTTTGGTAGGGCTGGTAACTCTTAGAAGACCCGCCTTATCTAGTTTCTTCCACGAGGTTTCAAAACTAGAACTTAAATGCTTTGAAAACTTGGACAGCTGTACAGTCAATTTGCATACGTACAAAGGGGATTAGATCATTTTCTCTCTTTTCATCTCTTTCAACAGTAAACCTAAAGTTGATGCTCATGTCCTCATCATGTTGATTAGAAATCATATTTGGCACTCAATACATAGTCCGATGGGATCGGTTTTGTTGGCTTCATAACACCCAACAGTCGACTAACTTCATATAGATCGCGTACTAAATTTGTCACATCCCGGCCTGAGGCGGATCACTTCCCAGGTCCGCTCCACCACCGTAGCACGATATTGTCCGCTTTGGGCTTACCATTCCCTCACGGTTTTGTTTTTGGGAACTCACGAGCAACTTCCCAGTGGGTCACCCATCATGGGATTGCTCTAGCCCCCTTCTCGCTTAACTTCGGAGTTCCTACGGAACCCGAAGCCAGTGAGCTCCCAAAAGGCCTCGTGCTAGGTAGGGATGGGAATATACATTTAAGGATCACTCCCCTGGGCGATGTGGGATGTCACAATCCACCCCCCTTAGGGGCCCGACCTCCTCGTCGGCACACACGCGGCCAGGGTTAGGCTCTGATACCAATTTTCACATCCCGGCCTGAGGCGGATCACTTCCCAGGCCCGCTCCACCACCGTAGCACGATATTGTCCGCTTTGAGCTTACCATTCCCTCACGGTTTTGTTTTTGGGAACTCACGAGCAACTTCCCAGTGGGTCACCCATCATGGGATTGCTCTAGCCCCCTTCTCGCTTAACTTCAGAGTTCCTACGGAACCCGAAGCCAGTGAGCTCCCAAAAGGCCTCGTGCTAGGTAGGGATGGGAATATACATCTAAGGATCACTCCCTTGGGCGATGTGGGATGTCACAAAATTTGTAACTGAAACAAACCCACAGGAAGTAGAGTATCTGAACCAACTTGGTCAGCTCGAGCCAGTTATTTGAACACCTATAGCATAGTGTTTGAAGCAATTTGCATTAACCGCCTTGAATGGTTATGCAGCTTTTGATGTAGAAAGTAATCTTGGATGTGGCTAACTGTTTTGGTACAGCATGCCCAGTTCATTTTCTCTGTTGAGTATCGTGCGCATATGGTATTCATTTTCTCTGCATGCCTTAGTTGTGCTTGTTTATGGAATAAATGGTAATTATTAAAGAACATGTAGACATTGTAATCATAAAAAATAAAAAATAAAAAAAATAAAAAATCTGTCTTTATATGTGTTTCAAATTTTATTAATTTGCTTCATGTACACCATGAATCTCTACTGTTTGCAGCTCTCTGTTTTTCACAGACTGAAAATGTGCTATTTAGGTTACAGATGCTTTGGGAATCATGCTACATTGCTGCTATTGTTTCTATTTCCTTGCTAAATTCTTATTTTTAATTGACTTCCTCTTTGGTTCCTACTAGTTTGCAGTGAAATGGTTATGCATGTTTTTTGGATGCCCCAAAATTAGGACTTTCCATGTAGAGTCATTTCCCTTCCCAGATCCTATGCCCGTAGCCACTTTTGTGCTTCCAAGTTCTAAACAGAATACCACCTAGGGTCTTTGTTCATGTTGTAAGAAGATATAGTATGTTTCATAATACATTGGGAAGAAGATGTTAACATGTACACCCTTTCTTTGTAAATCTGTGATTTTGGGAGCACTTATGAAGCTAACTAGTTATACCTTGAAACGAAATGAAAGGAAGCCATACTCTAGAATCTTTCTCATCATAGTTTGCTTTTTAGTACCTTCCAATTCACTGACATCCATTTTGTGCAAGAGGAGATAATGAACATCCACCGTTGTCCTTTATTTTGAAATGCGGGCAGGTAGTGAACACAACAAACCACTTGCCAGAAAACACGGCATGCCATAAAAGAATGCGTAGTCATAGAAGCATAACTCCGATTCCCGTTCTCTGATCTTGCTCCCACACCCCACCCCTTGATCTGCCAACCCATCTTGCGATTATCCCTCTAACTTTGGAGACGGCAGAGGCATGGAGGTGATGATAACCTCTGGACACTGATGACAATCGGCTATAATTTTTTTTTTTACTGGGGATATGAGGATTTCATTTGGGTGGGTTGAATGCTTGATTTTTGGAACCAACAACTTAGGAAATGACTTCCTGTGCTAGGATCATTAATTTGTTTCTTCCAAAACAGAAATAAGTTAGTTTCGCATGCCTGTTTGAATTGTGCTGGTGATTTTCATTCTGGTGACGCTCGCTTGATCATCAGTATTTGAATTGTGACAGCAAATGGTTGGTAACTTGCTGTTATTTTTTCTTAATCAGGCGGTTTTCTCCAGAAGCACAAGGAAGCATCAAATAAATGGAATATGGCACCACCAAAATGATTTTCAGCCAGGAAGGATAATGCGTTCTTGCATATGTATGATGTTAACTTGTATGAGGGCTCCTGGATTGCTGCTTTGGTACACGACTACAAACATTTTGGGTTTTCTTCTGTCTGTTTGGCAAATGAGTCAATATACGAGAAGGCAAAGCAATTTGGTCGTCATTCTAGGATTTATATAGCCGACTCCACTTAGTGGGATAATGTTCTGTTGTTGTGTCAAACCCGAAGGGGCAAGCTCTCGAATGTCACTACTATGCAGTTGCATCTGATATGAAATCAAAATACAATACTGAGAATTGCAATGTTGGCAAAAATTGAATACACTATTGGGCTTTTACTTTTTATCACAAATGGTCATTGGGGTTCCGCCAACTCCTAGTTTTAGTTGATTCGTGTTTCAAATTCATCTGTTTGGTGTTTAGTGAAAGTTCTATCTGACCCAAAAGTAAAGAATAAAGTTTTATGCTCAACTGTTTGACAGTTCCATTATCTTATGCTAGCCTCCCTGCATGAGCACGTGCGAAGGACATTATTTTTTAATCACGGGCATTATGTGCTCCTAAAGATATGTTGTGTTACTTGTTTTCTATTATAATTTTAAGAGATTGATGCCAAATCCTTCTATAAATTGAGTAAGAGTGGGATCCACCATATATGTAGCTTGTTTGATGTGTATTTACGCTCTTTAATAAACAATTCATAAATATTACAAAAACAATAAAATAAAATAAAAAGATTGACATATGAGGTTAGAATAGAAAGTTTTTTTCGCAACATCAAATTGCCGTATAAATGTTTTGCATTTGGCGTTTTGATTGGAGATGCTCTAAAACGGTAGGTCCCAAACGGTCAAAACAAAACACAAAAATAAAAACAATTTAAATCACTAAAATGGAACAGACAGATGACTATGGAATTGCCACAAAATTGAAAACAGACCACCAACACTCAAACACAAAACTATAATCGATTTATAATGACAAGGAGAAACAACTATAACACTGACATTTTTTATAAAAAATCAAAACAAAAATCACAACCTAAATTACAAATGAAAAGAAAAATCACAAATAAATATGAAATTAACATGGAATTCGAAGAATAATGCATATACCAAAACACCGAACAATGTTGAACCAAATCCACAACCAAAACCAACACCAAAATTTGAATTTTTTTCAATCTAGAATCAAAATCCGATGCGAAACACAACTAAATTCAAAATCTAATACAAAACATGCACACACAAAGCAAGCCAACGAGTACGTTAAGAGCACTTCCAGCATGCTCTTTAGCCCAATGGAGAGGGATCTGAAGCAACCCAATCCCCTCCCAAACTAGCTCCAGCTCATTCGGGCAATTGGACTAAGGGGGAGCCCATGGGAGAGGGCAGGCAGGAGTTCAAGGCCTGAGCGCCTGAAGGGAACTGATGCAAGGCTGACGTCAGCATGACATTAACCATGTTCTAAAAAAATTTGCGTCATGCGCGTGGGGCGCTTCTCCGACACATTTTCAGATGATGGGACTCGCATGTTAGCCCACTCAATTACCTTTGAATTTGGACCGTTGATTTCCAGATCAACGGTCTAGGTATTTAGGCTTTTAAAATTTAAAAAAAAAAAAAAAAGAAAAAAGAAGAAAAAAAATCTGAAATGTTTGGTGGGCCACATGTCACATTCTGGATTGTTGGATTTCAATATATTTTTTTTTTGTAATCCAACGGTCCAGATTAATTAAGTTAATAAATTTAAAAAAAAATATTAAAGATCCCAAAAATTTCAAACAAATTTTAAAAATATATATATAATTTTTTTTTCTATAAATACCTTATCATTTTCTCCCACTTTTCAGCATATTTCAATATTTTCAACGATTCTAAACAATCAAGAACATGTCGTGCAACGGAATTGATTAAAAATCTTATCGTGATCCATCTACAAAAATTTTACTTTCAGATAATGACATATGACGTGAAGAGATTGGTTAAAAATCCTATTTAAAATTTAAAATTATTTTTTATTATTTTATAAAATAAAAAATACTAATATTTTATTGTGTATTGTCATGACCACTCAGTTTAAGGGTAAAGATGCAAAAAGCAATTACTGTTCATTGAAGACGGTTACTATTCAATGGAGGGGATTCAATTGCCAATTGTCATGGAGGCCTTCCTACTCTGGAAGTGTTCTAATGCAGAGAAAGCGTTCAGTGATCAATTGCTTCAAATAAAAGGCTGGTGGTGTCTCTAACTCTGCATGGAGCAGGACATCAACCTCCATAATCGGCATGTCCTTCTCTAGTTTCAATCAACACTGACAAGAAGAATAAAAAAATCAAAAGGGAAATGGAAACTAGAAACTCTAGCCACATAAGATTTGCAAAATAAAGAACGAGATGTACTGATACAGATGAAGGTACAGCTGGTTTTCAGTGGGGCCATACAAGGGACCCGAGATCAAAATACGATCATTAGTATGTTGTCTGTGGTGTTTAGATAGTGATGAGACTTATGTACATTAGCATATAAACAAGATCATACCCCTTTGGTATCTGATGTAAGAAGTCCCATTTTTTCAGTCAGATTATCCATATTCTGGGTTTTGTCTCCATTCTCTGTTGGCTGCTGCTCTTCATTTTCGATACGCAATCCTACTTCCGCACAAGTAGAATCCATTTCATCTGCCCCCGGGTTTTGTATAATATCATCCCAATCCTTTAGAAATGCTTCGATGTCTGAGGAAATAATATCAAAGTCTATCGCCAATGACCCATTCAATACCTCTGAAGTGGGGTCAATATATCCATCACCTGCTTCAGATGCCATGTTTTCAATAAATCCAACACCAGTGTCTTCACCTGCCATGCTTTCTTCAGGAATATCCACTAAGCCTTCGGGTGGCATATCTGGTATTTGAGATAGCTCCGGGATAATTACATTTGTCTGAGGTATGGGAACGGATGGGGACTCTTGTGCTCCGACAAGGGCATTGACATCTGAGAATATAGATCTCATAACTGTTCCAGAGTTAGTGACCCGCGGAGAAGAATGTTTTTCAGAAATTACAGAAGGCAGGCCATGCCCTGAAGTTAGCGGGACCTCTTGAAGAGTCACTCCTGATGTGCGGCTTGAAGAACTCCCACTGTCTACTGCACTGGATGATAATGATGAACCATCACCAATAAGGAAGTTATCAAAATTGTTATTAGAAGATTCCAACCGAGAAGATATATCTCTATTCATGATTTGCCTGAGCATTGCCTTTGCTGCTTCGTTCATGGGAGGCTGATACTTAACAATCTGTCCATCAGGAGTAGTAGAATGCTCGCTCTCAGCAATACCTTCCTTCTTAAGTCTCCGTTTTTTGTTGACTTCAGTTATGCGCCTACTGCTCTCATTTTGCTGTACAAATTGAGTGAACAAACCAGGGCTATGCATAGCCTTTGCAAGGAATGACACCATCTGTTGTTGCCGCTGCTCCATGCCCTGAAGACGCTGCAACATTGTTTGTAGCTGGTTATCAGTATACTGTTGCTGCTGCCTTAGCCTGATAAGTTCCTGCATAAGCACATTCTTGTCCCTTTTTAGCCTCTCAACCTCTTCCTCGAGGCCAAACTTCCCAACTTCTACACACGCACCTATTGAATTCTGTCCATGTGATGGCTGTGGCTGTTGATGACTATGTCCATGGGCAGGTTTTCGCCGGTTGATGCTCTTAAGGAGATCTTTCTGACCCCTCAAAAATCCCTCATGAGCAAACTCCCAGCGGTCTGGATCAACCTTCCTAAATCCCTTTTCGAATAAAAGTGAAGCGGTTCAATCAACATGATGGAAAAAGAAAAAATGAAGGGATTTTTTCATGGTTTAGCAAAGGAATGAAAAAAACAAAAACAATATCAGAATAAGCAGACAAACATTAATGAAGACAATGGATCAAACACCTATCATTTATGAAAAATGCAAATTGATCAATGTAGTTGAAGAGAATAATTATTTTAGGCTACTTAGTGTATCCCGAAAATAAGCAAAGAAAAAAAATTAACATTAGAAGGTTTCACGACCTAGCTCAACGTGAACTGAAGGGACTCTCACTCAACTTGAATCCCTACATTTAGAAACTTCATGTCAAAATTTTTAAGGAACGAGTTCCTTCATCCCCCAATACTACCAGAAGAGTACAACTCAATTATCCACTCCACGAACAAAATATGTAAACCAGCCAACACAACCTGCTCAAGCAATGTTTTCTGAAGAATCTGGCCTTGCAATGCTTTCCCCATTTGATTCGGAGATAGCAGAAGAGGTAACTCAGTGTTACAAAAATAAATAGATGTGGATACATTATTAAGGATCAGATTCAGAGTAGATGTGGATACATTATTAAGGATCAGATTCAGAATAGATGTGGATACATTATTAAGGATCACATTCAGAAAAGATAACCTACCATGTGAAGCCTATCCGAAATTCAGTTTCCAATCTGTCTAGTCCACAGGAAAGCAAAACCATAAAAAGGTTCCAAAACTAACTTCATAGAGTTAGTTATTCCATGCAGTCTTTGACTCACTACATGACCATCTTAGACATGTAAGGAACCAAAAGTGTTTCATAGCCAGAGTCTAAGTCACCCCACCGAAACCATTAGCAAGTAAACTCTCCAAAAGCACCAAAAAGAGTCTTACAGATAGATGTCACATTTCTCCACATCCACAGACAATGAAAATTTCCAGGCTATGTCCTAAATGCAGTCATATCGAGATGAATAGAGAAAGAAGACGCTCACAAGTTTTGCATCTCTGATTTTCTATACAAACAATTTTGAATGCAGTATACAGATAATCTTTGAGTTTGAACTAAACTTTTCATAGAATACTATTTGAAATATGGCTCAATAAAAATAACAATGAGTGCCATGGTGGCAAATATCTAATTGTTCTTTCTAAACATGTCTTACATGCTTTGCACGCAAAGTCACCATGGTCCAGAGACCAACCTTAATCAAACAGCCATAAAACAGGATATGAAGTATGAGACCCCTTGTCTCACATTTCTAGCCAGAAAGGCAACAAATGAGACCCCTTGTCTCACATTTCTAGCCAGAAAGGCAACAAATTCCTTTCACTATAGGGAGATGGAAAAGCATAAGAATGAATGAGGTAAACACATAGAAAGACAAAGGAATTATCCCTTTTTTAAATCACAGTCAGATGTCTGTAATTTTAACCACTTTTCTATTTGTAATTTTGTATCCATATTTCCAGCAACCTTTCCGTAAAAGAAATAGTGGTATTTCTACCAACAGTGATATCTTCAACCATAATAACATGGCACACAGTGATGGCCGTTACAAACCCAATTACACTCTGTTAGAGCCCAAATGAATTAGCCATCACAAGTGCAGATATTTGCTATCATAAGACAGAATAACCATATGAAGCTTACAGCTTAGCTAGTTACCAAGTCTAATGCGTAGACAGAATTATGACCCAACCTACAAGGATACTAGAAACCTTAAAAGGAAGTAAGTTAGCATGTCCAAGTCATAGATCTAATAAAAGCTAGCAAACCAAATACTTCATGGTTCCAAGGACAGTCAAAAGGTCATTAGAAACTTAATGACTGGCACAAAGTACAACTCAAAATACACAAACACCATACGTGCTCGATGCTCCAGACCCAGAGAAATTAGAACCTCAAAACTGTCCAAAACAACAGATTTTCTGTTAAAATATTCTGACTATGATGTTCTTATTCAATCAGTAATAGCAAACATAAAGAAACATATCCGCCTGCTCTATCATCACCTGTATAAAGGTTTGACTAGCCCTCAGCCGGGTCAGATTGCATATTCAACAAACATATTTAAAATATCTACATTTATAATTAACCTTGTAATCATGCACTCACTTTCTTTCCCTTTTATCCCACTTCTGCTCCATCTGGTTGCTGAGAAAATGCAGGAAGAAGAGAGATCAAACTTTCAAATCGCACATTCTTATTTCTTTAAATGGTATAATTGCCCGAAAACAAAACAAAAAAAAAAAAACAAAACCAAAAGCTTCGACTCCCCAAAAAGAAAACACAAAAGAGCAATCCCAACACTCCATACATATTACCCTAAATTCTCTGAGCAACCAAATGGAGTATTCTAGTCATCCATGGAAAAATGCCACACAGTGGTGGTCGTTACACTCAGTTAGAGTCAAATGCATTAGCCATCACATGTAAGCGAATATATTTGCTATCATAAGACAGAATGACCATATGAAGCATCCAATTAGCAATTTGCTGACCAAAAAGAGGACGTATAACCAAGGCGTAGAGAAAACTACGACCCAAACTACAAGGATACTAGAAAACTTAAAAGACAGTAAGTCAGTATGCCTATGCATAGATCACATAGCAGCTAGCATACTAAATACTTCATAGTTCCAAGAACAGACAGTCAAAAGGTCATGTCAGAGACTTAAAGACTGGCACAATGTACAACTCAAAAATAAACAAACAGGCTCAGTTTTGATGTTGAAATATTCTCATTAAGATGTTCTTAATCAATCAGTTATACAAAACATTAAAAAACACATCCGCCTGCTCTATCATCAGCAGCTAGCCCTCAGCCGGGTCAGTATTGCAAATGCCACAAACATATTTAAAATATCTACATTTATAATTAACCTTGTAATCAGCCCTCACATTCTTTCCCTTTTATCCCACTTCTGCTCCATCTGATTGCTGAGAAAATGCAGGAATAAGTGAGATCAAACTTTCAAATTGCACATTTTTTAAGTGGTATTAGTAGCCCGAAAACAAAAAACCAAAGTCAACAGCTTCAACTCCCAAAGATGAACAAACATAAAAGAAAAAACCCAACACTCCATACATGTTACCCTGAATTCTCTTAGAAACCAAATGGGGTATCGTAGTCATTGACCCAAAGACTTAACCAGAAAATCTAGGGTCTTTTCGGCACAATTATATGCCTAATTGGTTCACATTTGGGTAACCTGTATACAACACTAATCCCCAGATAAGACCAATCTCTGTCTCCACCAATCACTGACCAAAATCAATCACCATTTAAAGCATATTTTTAAACAGTGAGAAATATATACACGTATATAGAGAGCGAGAGAGAGAGAGAGAGACATACGTAGGTGTTCAACTGCCTAACAAAGCTAGAGAAGTTATTGTGCTTGAAGTACTTGGGAAGGAGGTCCCTGGCGAACTCCGGCGGTTTCCAAACCACAAAGCTATTGTTGGTGGGGGTCCACGACACGACCGGGTCGGTAGCCGGGTCGTCCACCATGTCGTACGTCTTGCACAGGAACGGCGGCAGGGCGTTGGATTTCAGTAAGGGTGCCGGCGCCAGAGCCGAACTTGAACCCGAAGCCGCCTGTTGTCCGCCGGCGGCCACTGATATCTCGTCGCCGTTGTTGTTATCAGCGCCCCCCATATTGCCGTTGAAGAAATTGATTATAGAATTGAGAAATTAGGGTAATGAGAAAGAAGTGAAGATTATTGGATAGGGTTTTTCAGAAGCCATTTCCATCCATGGTTGGCTTTAAAACCCTAGGCTGCTGCTTTTATGAGAGAGAGAGAGAGAGAGAGAGAGAGAGAAGAGTCTGTGTGTTGTGTACGGACAGTGGGTGGGACCGGTGAAGAATAGGGTGGGGAGGTGGGCAAAAGGGAGACCGGCGCACGAAACGGGCACGATTTGCCTCCTCAGGGGTCTGGGGACGGATAATGTTCCTCCACAAAATTCCAATTAAAAAAATTAAAAACGGTTGGAGTAATTAAATATTGAGAGAGGGACGGCGAGGTTGTCGAGGTTATGACCAACCCAAACTGGGTGCACTCAAAATACTTTAGCTAAGTTCGACGAAACTCCCCTAAAACTACCAGTGTTGCAAATAAGATAGTGTAGGCAATCCAACTCCTCCGACAAACTTCGGGAAGGTGGACTTCGGGCATGATTTTGTATAGAGATCAGCAAGGTTGTCTTGACATGAGATCTTCTTGACTTCACTCTTCTTAGACGCCATAAGCTTGGTATGGTCTCCTTGGGTTGACACACATGGCATAGTCTTCATCGATCATTGTGGGGACTCAAAGATGAATAAAAATATACAAGTGCTTCGAACATACTCAACATGAGCTCTCAGCCGTGTCTACTCACATGTGGCGTAGTGAGGCATAGCGTCGTAATGAGGCGCGGCAAGCTTATCAAGGTTCGAAGACATCGCAACTAAGCTCTATTCAATGGACCTCCAAAATATTGGTGTATTCCCAACGATAAAGGTATAAAACGTCTTTGAAAATGTGCCTTGTGAGAGTTTGATAAGGAACTCTGTGTCAACATAACTAACAAGGCAAGCATCACTCTAATGATCAGGGACTAGATCTAGAGATGCTAGGGATAAACAAGCCCAAATTTCGTAGTTCCATAAAGATATAAGAAAAAAAACGTCTTTCACCAACCTAATGGTGGCATATAGGCGCATCGAAAGAGATGTCCAGCCTAATGCAACGAGCTAAGTACAACAAACTCCAATCGTACTCAAATATGGAACTTTGGATTCCATAACCTCTTCAAAGGTGTCACTTTGGATCTAGCGTACTGTTTGGACCCAAATTTACACTATCGGCCCGTGCAATCAAGGGTGTTGAGTGAGCATAGTTTGACATTGTCAGATGAAAATTGAAGATAATTCATTTTGTTATTATTAAAGGATAATGTTATGGTGTTTTATCGTAATTATCTTTTAATAATAACTTATTATAAAAGATGAGATATGTATTTCCAACTGGAAACATGGCAGCACAATTCAAGCTGATTTGGATGTTTTGGCGTGTGAATGTGTGGGTGGGATCAGTTTGGTTAATTGACAAGTGGTGTGTTGCAAACTGATTATTGTCCATTCAAAGTATTGTAGGGATCAGGATGCATGCATTGGTAAAGATTATGGAGAAGCCTAGATAGGTTTGGTTTCTAATGTGATGTGATAAGCCTAACTTTTTTTTAGGTTTGAAAGGTCAAGAACAAATCCCACAGATTAATTTGAAGGATATGCCTTGGCTTTTGATGCGGATCAACTTTAGTTCTGCAAATTAGAATTGCAATTGGACTCTACAAAGTTATCAGGAAGCGAAAGACGTCCATTATAAATACAGAGTCGCATGCAACATTTGAAGGCATATCCAATTCAACACACAAACTGCCTTACGCAAACTCTCGCTCTACGCGAAACCTCTCAAAAACCTTGAGATTTTTATTTTCTTTTTCCACTAACACATCTTCAGTTTGGATAAACAGCACTGTGAAGACAACTGGTGACATCTTCAGTTTAGACAAACAACACTGTTGCCGTAGAATCAGTCGACCGCGAAGCACCTTCAGTTTGGATAAACAGCACTGCGTCGAGGTCGACTGGTTATTTATCCAAGTCTTGGTCGAGAAGGATTTTCGAATCCTTATTGATAGAAGTCATCTCATTAGCTTTCTCGGCGAAGTGAGGTGTTACATGTTACTACATTCGGCACATTGAAAGCCGAATTTGATATTGAACTTCGCAGAACTAGCAGCCTTGTCTTTAGACTCTAGAACCCAAAGGCTGAGACGTGTTCCTTCGTCGGCCGTAGTCACAAGATCAAGAAGTCACAAGCACGTCTAATGTGACGTCAACATATTTTACTCCCTTGCCATGCTCGGCCAATGAGTTGGCATACCCTGCACACAACTGAAGAACGTAGTTAGCTTATTGATTACTCGGCCTTTGTGCCACGTATGCTTGGTAGTTTTTAGGGTCAACACATACAGATGATCATGGGTAATTTGATTGGTGACTAGGATACCATCAGAACAATGCTCGAACCTCATGCCAAGACATGAACAAGTTTTCCCAAGATCCTTCATCTCAAAGTTCGACTTAGGGTGTAAGTCAACTTTCTCAAACTCCTCCAAAGTTTTAGTGAGATTCATATCAACGACATAGGCTATAACTCTAGCATGTCCAAAATGACTTCTTTACAGAACATGCAACGGGCTTAATTTATTCACATTATCCTTGACTGATCAAATACACACTTTAGAGAATGAACTCTTGATCGAATTATAGAAGGTGTTATGTGTTCTAGATAAAACTAGTCTATGCAAGTTCCTTTGAACTTCTATTGTCGTATCATGATTGATCCTCATGATGCAGGCTATAACAACATTCATGTTTTGTTTTCTTTACGAATACAAAGATATATTACACTAAAAGGGTGAGAGACTTAGGCTAAGCAACATAATGATCCAGACATAATAAAATTTGTTCAAATACACCTTCAACGAGTAACAAACCTAATGCCTTTCATTTACAAGAGAGAAAGAATACTAATAGATTGTGTTACTAAGTGACAAACAAAGTTAAAGTTTTAAGAAATAAAAGTACATCTGCCGCCGCCACCTTGCCATGGCCATCATAGAATCACTATTGTTGCCACCACAACCTTCGATACCATCACATTGTCACCATATTCGACCAACATCACCGCCATCACAACCACCACATTCTCTACTGCCATCACCCTTCCCACCGTCGCCACCATCACCATTACATCTCACCACCATTGCCGTTACCACCACTACCACCACCACCACATTCTTTACTGCTGTCACCCATGCTGCCACCACCATTACCTTTCAGGCCACTACTACTCGGTGTTCTCAAAAGGGGCTTAGGTTCCCACGATTAATGCCTAGGCGCTTAGACAATAGGTTATGACACTTAGGCAGAACTGCACATGATAGGTGACTTATTTGGTTTTATTTTTAAATGACTTGGAGTCACGAATCATTCTTTCTTGGATAAAAAAAAAAAAAAAAGGAAACCATACCTTCTCTATGTGATTGAGTCCATCTCTCTCTTAGACGAAAATAACACGTGAGATGTGCAAAATCTTTTTCAATTTATTAAGTGATCTAATTTGTCAAGCACTTGGGGCTTCTGTAATCGTCAGCCGAATAATGTTGTAAGCCTGTCAACATGTATCTATAGCTTCCGAGCAAATCTGTCAACAGATGCAGAGCAAGTCCTACCGAGTTTTTATCGAATAAGATTTCATTGAGCACTTGATGGATACTTTTACGTCCCTATTATACAATCGGAAGGTCTTCAAAAGACTACCCCATGAGTTTTTTTTTTTTTTATCAAAACTTTGTTTTGTACATATTTTGTGTTGGATGGTGCTATTCATACATCAATTTTTACCTCCCACACCCTTGTTAATTTTTGGCCATTAATTTTTTTCAATTCATTCAATTCAATAGCCGAAAATTAAGAAGGGTGTGTGAGAAGTAAAAATGGACGTGTGGTTAGCACTAAAAACAAGGATGGCTAGACATTGCAAAAATGCAATTAAAAGGGATTAAAAAATCATTTAAGAATCGAGCAGCGTGAACATCCCAAATGCAATGAGCCATAATCACTTGGAACATCTTTTAACTTACAAGAAATTACAATAAATTCATGAAATGGGATCAAATATCCTACGACTTTATGTTATCTCTGATAAATTGCTCCACCTGGGAAATTTCACCACCAAGGCCAGAAGCTTCTCCAACTGTAACTTTGTTTTGACACTGTGAAAATGCAAATCGTTCTCCAAGTGCTCCGAGTGTAAACTAGTAATATCAGCTGTTGATATTGCACTTCTTGATGCTCGTAATTTGTCACTATAAGATGTTATGTCACAAATATATTAGGGTTTCGATATATGAATCAGAAATAGGATGAATATGAATCATAACATCACAGAGCATTATTGAGCCAATGAACACTTGCATAAACAAGGGTTAAAAAAACAAGAGTAGCATTTAAATGAAAAATTTGTCCCGAATGTGATGCTAAATAGAAAATCACGGCAAAACTGTTACTGGAAGCAATATATTTACGGAAAACCCAAATGTTATCAATATAAAATATATTCCTGATACAAAGACGAACAATATAGTTATCTCATTAACACCATTTGAAAGCTTGCGTTACAAGTTTAAGATCAATTAGAGAAAAAAAAGACACTGATGTTAGAACAATTCAAATCTTACATTTCCTTCTCCAATTGTTTTAGAATAAATTCCTTGCTATGTGCCGTCACTTTGTTTGTCTTATTGCAAAGAATAAGAACTGGAATTTTCTTCCTCACCACACTCGCCTTGGTCAAAATATCATACAGGTACATGGTGCAAATAAAACTCCAAACATCATCTTCTACTGTGAAAAACTTGAGTTTCATGCAAAGTAAGCATCTATATGCTTACATCCCAAATTTTGGATGTCTCTGTCTGTTATGATCATTTTTATCACCTCTAGGACCTTAGACCCGTAGGGCTGGCACTATTTACCATCAAGTGGTAAAAATGGATGTAAGCATAATCTTGAAGGAAAAATAGTCATTGTTCAATATCACATTCTAGCTATGTACTAAAAGGGGGAAAATATTACTCTGAAGCAGCACGGCAATTTGGTAAGAATTCCACAGCATCGACCACAAACACTATACCAGCAACTTCAGGGAGGAAATCATCTAGGCGAGAATGCCCAGAAACATCAATAACATAAATAGGATTTACCTTTCCATTCTGTTAGGGACAATGAAAAGAAGGGTGAGCATCATCAAGTGCTTGAAGGACCATAGGCGTGACAATACCTTGATGAAAAGAGTCATCCCGACACTGGCATGTGCATCAAGTCATATCACAAAAGTAAGATCCACATTGCAATGTAATAAAAGGCCATCAAGGAAACTCAAAAACAGGGGGAAAAAAGAACATAACAAAAAAGCATTTAGAATTTCTACCAAGATAAAATCATATTAGAAACAAGCATTGAGTACGGAAAATATATAAAAGGAAAAGAAAACCAAAGGATACAACATAAGCAAAGGACCAACATAACATCTTAAACGCACGACAATTTTACAATGTTGACAGAAAAACAATCCAATACGCAAAACCAATTCGTAGAAAGCTTGCACAATTTTTATCCTATTAATTGGCCTAACATAAATATTATA